AATTGGTGAATCTAGCATTGAAAACCAAATATTTAGACATAACTAAATGAAAAACTGCTTTACCAGGAGCTCTGTACTATATAAGAAGTTTACTATTGAATTGTTATATTATTGAATCACACTAATGATGAAGATGAAGTCCAAATAACACATTAGAGAATTCCACTACTAAATCAATGCCAGATGTGACAGAAAATTTACCTGTTCAAAAACCTGATGATAATTATGAACCAAGATTGGAAAATTCAGATTTTCAATCTAGCTGTAAATCAGCTGGAGCTAAAAATAAACCAAGATAGTTGCAATATTTTGTTCACAAATGGGGACGGGTAAATGTACTATAATTTAGTGTTCTAAATGTTGTGACAAGAACTTGTCAGTAATTAAATAATTTTTGTGGAATTCTAATAATTAACAGGTTTTATTAAACTGTTTATTCGGGCTGTTGGGCCGTTGTCTTCTGTTGAGATTAGTTCTCGACGTTTCGCCAACGCTAGGGGTTGGCATCTTCTGGAGATGTTGATGCTTCGCTTGTAAGCAGAAACTGACGACGCGTTGTACTACGGAGGCAATATTTATAATTCCCACTCGCCTCCCCTCCACTGGTTTCGGCTTGAGGCTTCAATTTGGCATTATTGACAGCTTTATTGGGATTATTGACCACATCGGTATTCTATTGACCATATCCATTTGAGGACTTAACAACCTAATCAGGACATACACCCACATGTTACTGTAGCTCTCCAGAAACTACAACCACTACAACATTTAATTGGAGGACCTAACAGCTAGAACACACAAGCAGTCCATCGAAGCAATAAGTAGCACTTATTAACTGTTAAGCTTTGGCAGGGTTAATTATTGTTTTTTTATTCTTTTTAATAAATATGTTTGGTTAAAATTTGTCTTATTTGGTATCAGCTAAGAACTGAGGTTCAATCCCTAGTTTAAGACAAGACGAACTCACCCTCGAGATACTGAGCTAGGCAAGGTATAGACGATAAGCTCCCATGGTTGATTGAGGTATTATTTTTACAACAGTTCTTCAATTCTCTTTGATAGTCTTATCATTACAGTACGTTTTTCAAAAGTACTTAACTTCTGCTACAAATTACAATAAAAACCGTATTCTTTGAATCACTTCCCGTAATGTGCGATTATTTGTAATGTAAAATTTAGATTCTGCGTCTTTAGTCATATTTCAAATGCCAAATATTTGTTGTAAAAATCAAAATCGAATTTTCATGTTATAGGTTTTGAAGACTGGTTTCCAACAATGGAAATATTACTACGACTCGTCAATGAAAGTAATACATTTTTATTGATCTCACGAGAATCATAAAAAATGATAAAAATCGCGCAAAGCTTATTTATTGAACAGCTTTATAGATATTTACTTCATTTTCGGTAAATTACAAAACTTGTATACGAAAGCTGTCCTCATTACCTTTACAACGCATTTTGAGTTTTGTTGATAGGACACTCTGATCAAAAGATAATATTGATTTTTTACCGTCGAGTTGATACTTTTATTTAACATTGATTTCGTGCGCGGAACTACATTCAAATTCGACGGTTGCTTCAAGCGTTGTTTCTGAGAGAACAGTTCATTCTACACATTGTTGTTCAAACTTATCTTAGCCACATTTTTTTATTCAAATATTTTTTTCTACAGCGTGCAGATTCTTGTTAAATCGATTTTTTACGTTTTTAGTCTCCTATACTAGCGGGGTTACAGGGGGAAGCCCAGGGATTCAAGTCGTAAACTTTTTTGCTTCTTTTTGGAGTCCTAAAATTGATATATTCGGCAAAATACAGTTTGTTCGTATGATTTTTAGGAATCAAATCTATAACGACTGGACTATCATCCGCAGCAATTAGACCTATATTAACATACACGGCGGAGACAAGACGGTACACATCTAAAACGAGACGACTACTAGAAACAACAGAGATGAAAATATTCCCTCAAATATCAGGGAAAAGTCTGTTGGATAGGGAGAGAAGCGAAAGCATAAGAAGAGGATGCAATATAGAAGACATAAATGGATGGGTCACAAAACGAAAACAGGAGTGGAACGAATACATAAGTGGAATGACAGAGGATCATTTATGCCCAAGCAAGGCACAATAGATTTACTTTGTTTAACGTCCTTTTGGTACTATATGTACCATATTTAAAAAAATTTATTGTATGAGGATAATACATTAAATTGGAGGATAAATTAGAGAATAAAATGATATATTACCTGGATGTTTTCTTTTTACATGTGCCGTTAAGTTTGAAGATTTTGAAAAGTTTATATAACACTTAATACAACGTTTCATTTTCGACTTACACAAAAAAACACAAGAGTTTAAATTGTAAATACAAAACTATATTTATAATATTTTCACAACGGTCAAAAACCACACTTAAAAGTATTCACACCACCGCCACAGAATATTAGTTATACGCAAATATTCAAATTCAAACAGAATCAACAACCAAACATCCGACACAGTGTCTCAATTAAGATTGCGCGAAGCCGTGGATTTTATACCAAACTCTCGATCTGTAGATCCTTGTCTAGAGAATTAGCGATAAGAAATGTGCAAAAGCCTATTAAAGTGGTATCACCGCAGAAAGGCCTTTTAGATGCCCTATTTCTGTAGACATCAAAGATTTAAAACAATAGAATCTTGAGTCTGACCTAAAAAAATATATTTTTTTCGTGACCGATTATTTGCTTGTTTTAAAACACTGAAAGCATCACTTGTCGAAGAAAATATTACTTTAATAATAATATAGGAAGATTAAAAACGTTTTTAGATTCCTTTTCCCGCCCAGGAAGCTTGTTTGCTACATCATCCATAGAGAAAGAATTATTAGTAGTTTTTTCAATCTTAAGTTAGCATTTCCTTTTCAAAACAATTATTTAACTTTCAAAGCTTTCAATTTTCCGAATAAGTTTGGGTACAGCTTTAAAAGAGAAACAGCAAACGCTGCAGAACTTAACTAATTTTTTTGTGAACAACAGCACTAGTTATTCTTCTTTCACTACCCCGTCCGATTATCGAACGTTGACGACCATATTGTCAATAATAACTTAAGTTTACGGCGGCTCTAAATATATTAACAGTGGTCTCTTGATACCATTCTTGAAGATTTCGGAGCCAGGATGTTGTTCGTCGGCCTGGGCCCGTCGAAATTTGTAACTTTCGAATTTTTATCGTTTTAGCAATATGTGTATGTATTAATCTGATTTTAAGGTTTAACATAATATCCCTATTAATTAGAATTTTATTAGAATTAGAATTTATACAAGGCGGCTCTGGCTTTTTCAATGCGTATTATTTCTTTATTTATATCCCAGTTATCGTTAACGTTTGCACCCAAGTATCTATTCCATACGCTCTGATGTTCGTTGGTTGTAACCTTTTTTGATGACAACCATAAGTTTTGTCTTAGAAGTATAAAGTTTTAGCCCATATTCATCACATGCTTCGGTTACCCTGTTTATAAGTCGTCGCAGGTCTTCTTCATTGGAGGCAATAAGAAGTGTGTCGTCTGCATATCTGAGATTGTTGACATTAATGCCTTTATCTTCAACTAAGGCTTCTTTGAAAATAAATTCGGGCTAGATATTAAAAAGTAGAGGCGATAGAATACATCCTTGCCTCACTCCACGTCGTATTTCCACTGCTTCCGTCGAGTTGTTTCCAGCTCGTATGTTTGCACATTGACGCCAATACACCACTAGTTCAACGGCACCTAAATCTGTGCATTGATCAAAATGGTGAACAATAACGTGGCGGCTATCACACGTGACGAACTTAGCAAGAGTATCTCCACACCTGGAGCACTTGCTAAAAATATCGAAAAGTAAGACGAAACGAGTAAGAGGAAGCTGTTTCAACAGCAAACATGGCAAGTTGGCCATATTTTGTGGAAATTAATAAACTCTTGTATTTTTTATGGTTTAATTTAAAAATAATTTATCTTCGATAAATTATTATTTTTAGTAACCTGCTTAAAATAAATTTATGAATTTTCCTAGGTGTGTAATCCAATCATAACAGTATGTTCAAATTACTTGTTGGAATCATTTGCTTAAAACAAATTTAACACTTGTAAGGATTTTCGCCAGTGTGTATTCTTAAATGATTTTTCAAATGATGGATTTGACTAAATTGCTTACAGTTTGCATAAAATTGTTTATTGAACATCAGCACAGTTATTAGCAAGATCTCCACAACTGGAGCACTTGCTAACCATATCGAAAGTTATATTAATATCTCTACTTTAACGATTAAAGATATACATTAAAATTTATCCTCAAGGGAAGTTGTTTCTACAGCAAACATGTCAAGTTGACCATTTTTAATGAAATTAAAAAACTGTTGTATTTTTATTGTTTATTTTAAAACTGAATCAATCAATTGACAACTAAATTTATAAATAAGTGCACACATCATTTATCTTAGAACTAATTTATATTCTAACTATTAATCTCTAGTGGGCGTTGTCAAATGCTTCGATAAATTATCATTTTCAGTAACAAGCTTAAAATAAATTTCACATTTCCAAGAATTTTCTCAAATGTATTTTCAAATTACTTGTTTGAATAATTTGCTTACACATTTCACCCTTGGTAAGGCTTTCCAAAAACACATCTTACACTAAACTGCTTAAATAAATTTTACAATTATTAGCCTTTTTTCCAACGTGCATTCTTAAATGCTTTTTCAAATTTCCTGATTCACTAAATGGCTTAGAAAAATTTTAGACTTAAGGCTTTTATCCAGTGTGTATTAAATGCTTTTTCAAAGATTCTGCTTGAGTAAATTGCGTAAAACACATTTCGGACTTGTAAGGCTTTTCGCCAGTGTGTATCCCTAAATGTATTTTCAAATTTTCATCCCCACCAAATTGCTTAGAACAAATTTCACACTTATGAGGCTTTTCGCCAGTATGTATTCTTAAATGCATTTCCAAGTGTCCAGTTTGACTAAATTGCTTAGAACAAATTTCGCACTTGGTAAGGCTTTTCTCCAGTGTGTATTGTTAAATGCTTTTTCAAAGATCCTGCTTGATTAAATTGCGTAAAACAAATTTCGCACTTGTAATGCTTTTCGCCAGTGTGTATCCTTAAATGTATTTTCAATTGTCCAATATGAGTAAATTGCTTAAAACAAATTTCGCACTTGTACGGCTTTTCTCCAGTGTGTATCATTAAATGTTTTTTTAAAGTTCCTGCTTCACTAAATCGCTTAAAACAAATTTCACACTTGTAAGGCTTTTCGCCAGTGTGTATCCTTAAATGCTTTTCCAAATGTCCAATTTGACCAAATTGCTTAGAACAAATTTCACACTTGTAAGGCCTTTCTCCAGTGTGTATCCTTAAATGCTTTTTTAAAGTTCCTGCTTCAGTAAATTGTTTAAAACAAATTTCGCACTTGTAGTGCTTTTCTCCAGTGTGTATCCTTAAATGCCTTTTTAAAGTTCCTGCTTCACTAAATTGCTTAAAACAAATTTCGCACTTGTAAGGTTTTTCTCCAGTATGTATCCTTAAATGCTTTTCCAAATGTCCAATTTGACCAAATTGCTTAGAACAAATTTCACACTTGTAAGGACTTTCTCCAGTGTGTATCCTTAAATGCTTTTTTAAAGTTCCTGCTGCACTAAATCGCTTAAAACAAATTTCACACTTGTAAGGCTTTTCGCCAGTGTGTATCCCTAAATGATGCATTTTCAAATGTCCAATTTGAGTAAATTGCTTAAAACAAATTTCGCACTTGTAAGGTTTTTCTCCAGTATGTATCCTTAAATGCTGTTCCAAATGTCCAATTTGACCAAATTGCTTAGAACAAATTTCACACTTGTAAGGACTTTCTCCAGTGTGTATCCTTAAATGCTTTTTTAAAGTTCCTGCTTCACTAAATCGCTTAAAACAAATTTCACACTTGTAAGGCTTTTCGCCAGTGTGTATCCTTAAATGATGCATTTTCAAATGTCCAATTTGAGTAAATTGCTTAAAACAAATTTCGCACTTGTAAGGCTTTTCTCCAGTGTGTATCCTTAAATGATTTTCCAAATGTCCAATTTGACTAAAATGGTTAGAACAAGTTTCACACTTGTAGGGCTTTTCTCCAGTGTGTATCCTTAAATGCCTTTTTAAAGTTCCTGCTTCACTAAATTGCTTAAAACAAATTTCGCACTTGTAAGGTTTTTCTCCCGTATGTATCCTTAAATGCTTTTCCAAATGTCCAATGTGAACAAATTGCTTAGAACAAATTTCACACTTGTAAGGCCTTTCTCCAGTGTGTATTGTTAAATGATTTTTTAAAGTTCCTACTTGAGTAAATTGCATAGAACAAATGTCGCACTTGTAAGGCTTTTTGCCAGTGTGTATCCTTAAATGCTTTTTTAAATCTCCAATTTGACTAAATTGCTTAGAACAAATTTCACACTTGTAAGGCCTTTCTCCAGTGTGTATTGTTAAATGCTTTTTTAAAGTTCCTGCTTGCGTAAATTGCGTAAAACAAATTTCGCATTTGTAAGGCTTGTCGCCAGTGCATATCCTTAAATGCTTTTTCAAATGTTCATTTTGATTAAATTGCTTTGAACAGACTTCACACTCGTAAGTCATTCCAGAGTGCACTTTCAAATGCCTTTTTAAATATCTCAATGCTGTAAATTTCTTCACACATGTTTCACAATTGTACGAATTTTCCCGTGTATTCCCCAACGATCTTTCTAATTTTGTTTTAATCTCGTTCTGAGGTAAACCTAAAATAAAAATCACACTATAAATCTTTGCATGTAAAAAGGGAAGATCTAAAACTAAATTTAACAACTCTAGAATAAATAAACAAAATAAAAACAAAACTATGACAGAAGTTCAGGTGGATATCGAATTATATCATTTTATAGAAGGCGGTGTTAGTATTTTGTCGTCCACACTATTGGATGCTACCTCGTGAAACCTTTGTTTCCACGTATTTGTATACATTATCTATTCTAATGTGGGTTTGCTGTATCATTTTTTTGTGGTACTTATGATAAATCTGAGCTGATTCTGTTTGTTTTATGCGGTACTTCAGTCCTCTTAGATCATGTCCATCCAAATTACATTTTGTCACGTATTTGCTGGGTATATTTTCTTGGTGACAGTTATATCAAGTTGGCCATATTTTGTGGAAATTAATAAATTGTTGTATTTTTTATGTTTTAATTTAAAAATTGATCAGTCAAATGACCACTAATTACATAAATCAATTTTATCTTAGAACTAATATATATTTTAAATATTAATATCTAGTGTGCGTTGTCAAATGCTTCGATAAATTACTATTTTTAGTAACCTGCTTAAAATCAATTTAAGAGTTTTCCTAAGTGTGTAATCCAATCACAACTGTATTTTCAAATTACTTGTTTGAATAATTTGCTTAAAACAAATTTAACACTTATTTACACACTTAACACACTTTTCCAGGGTGTATTCTTAAATGCTTTTTCAAATGTCCAATTTGACTAAATTGCTTAAAACAAATTTCTAACTTGTAAAGCTTTTCGCCAGTGTGTATCCTTAAATGCCTTTTTAAAGATCCTGCTTCGATAAATTGCTTAAAACAAATTTCACACTTGTAAGGCTTTTCGCCAGTGTGTATTCTTAAATGATTTTTCAAATGATGGATTTGACTAAATTGCTTACAGCTTGGGTACACTTTTAAAAGATAAACAGCAAACAATGTAGAAATTAACTAAAATTATTTTTTGAACATCAGCACAGTTATTAGCAAGATTATCTCCACAACTGGAGCACTTGCTAACCATATCGAAACGGAAGATGCATTAACGAAATAAGTTATATTAATATCTCTACTTTAACGATTAAAGATATACATTAAAATTTATCCTCAAGGGAAGTTGTTTTTACAGCAAACATGTCAAGTTGGACATTTTTAATGAAATTAAAAAACTGTTGTATTTTTATGTTTTATTTTAAAACTGGATCAATCAATTGACAACTAAATTTATAAATAAGTGCACGCGTTATTTATCTTAGAACTAATTTATATTCTAACTATTAATCTCTAGAGGCGTTGTCAAATGCTTCGATAAATTATCATTTTCAGTAACAAGCTTAAAATAAATTTCACATTTCGAAGAATTTTCTCAAATGCATTTTCAAATTACTTGTTTGAATAATTAGCTTACACATTTCACCCTTGGTAAGGCTTTCCAAAAATGACATCTTACACTAAACTGCTTAAATAAATTTTACAATTATTAGGCTTTTTCCCAATGTGTATTCTTAAATGCTTTTTCAAATTTCCTGATTCGCTAAATGCCTTAGACCAAATTTCAGACTATAAAGCTTTTCTCCAGTGTGTATTGTTAAATGCTTTTTCAAAGATCCTGCTTGAGTAAATTGCGTAAAACAAATTTCACACTTGTAAGGCTTTTCTCCAGTGTGTATTCTTAAATGATTTTTCAAATAATCATTTCGACTAAATTGCTTAGAACAAATTCGCACTTGCAAGGATTTTCTCCAGTATGTATCCTTAAATGGTTTTTCAAACATTTATCTCGACTAAATTGCTTAGAACAAATTTCACACTTGTAAGGCTTTTCTCCAGTGTGTATCATTAAATGTTTTTTTAAAGTTCCTGCTTCACTAAATCGCTTAAAACAAATTTCACACTTGTAAGGCTTTTCGCCAGTGTGTATTCTTAAATGCTTTTCCAAATGTCCAATTTGAGTAAATTGCTTAGAACAAATTTCGCACTTGTAAGGATTTTCTCCAGTGTGTATCCTTAAATGATTTTCCAAATGTGCAATTTGACTAAATTGCTTAAAACAAATTTCACACTTGTAAGGTTTTTCTCCAGTGTGTATCATTAAATGTTTTTTTAAAGTTCCTGCTTCACTAAATCGCTTAAAACAAATTTCACACTTGTAAGGCTTTTCGCCAGTGTGTATTCTTAAATGATTTTTCAAATGATGGATTTGACTAAATTGCTTACAGCTTGGGTACACTTTTAAAAGATAAACAGCAAACAATGTAGAAATTAACTAAAATTATTTTTTGAACATCAGCACAGTTATTAGCAAGATTATCTCCACAACTGGAGCACTTGCTAACCATATCGAAACGGAAGATGCATTAACGAAATAAGTTATATTAATATCTCTACTTTAACGATTAAAGATATACATTAAAATTTATCCTCAAGGGAAGTTGTTTTTACAGCAAACATGTCAAGTTGGACATTTTTAATGAAATTAAAAAACTGTTGTATTTTTATGTTTTATTTTAAAACTGGATCAATCAATTGACAACTAAATTTATAAATAAGTGCACGCGTTATTTATCTTAGAACTAATTTATATTCTAACTATTAATCTCTAGAGGCGTTGTCAAATGCTTCGATAAATTATCATTTTCAGTAACAAGCTTAAAATAAATTTCACATTTCGAAGAATTTTCTCAAATGTATTTTCAAATTACTTGTTTGAATAATTAGCTTACACATTTCACCCTTGGTAAGGCTTTCCAAAAATGACATCTTACACTAAACTGCTTAAATAAATTTTACAATTATTAGGCTTTTTCCCAATGTGTATTCTTAAATGCTTTTTCAAATTTCCTGATTCGCTAAATGGCTTAGACCAAATTTCAGACTATAAAGCTTTTCTCCAGTGTGTATTGTTAAATGCTTTTTCAAAGATCCTGCTTGAGTAAATTGCGTAAAACAAATTTCACACTTGTAAAGCTTTTCTCCAGTGTGTATTCTTAAATGATTTTTCAAATAATCATTTCGACTAAATTGCTTAGAACAAATTTAGCACTTGCAAGGATTTTCTCCAGTATGTATCCTTAAATGGTTTTTCAAACTTTCATCTCGACTAAATTGCTTAGAACAAATTTCACACTTGTAAGGCTTTTCTCCAGTGTGTATTGTTAAATGCCTTTTCAAAGATCCTGCTTGAGTAAATTGCATAAAACAAATTTTGCAGTTGTAAGGCTTTTCGCCAGTGTGTATCCTTAAATGTATTTTCAAACTTCTAATTTCACTAAATCGCTTAGAACAAATTTCACACTTGTAAGGCTTTTCTCCAGTGTGTATTCTTAAATGATTTTTCAAATAATCATTTCGACTAAATTGCTTAGAACAAATGTCGCACTTGCAAGGATTTTCTCCAGTATGTATCCTTAAATGGGTTTTCAAACATTTATCTCGACTAAATTGCTTAGAACAAAGTTCACACTTGTAAGGCTTTTCTCCAGTGTGTATTGTTAAATGCCTTTTCAAAGATCCTGCTTGAGTAAATTGCATAAAACAAATTTCGCACTTGTAAGACTTTTTGCTAGTGTGTATCGTTAAATGCTTTTTTAAAAGTCCAATTTGAATAAATTGCTTAGAACAAATTTCACACTTGTACGGCTTTTCTCCAGTGTGTCTCCTCCTTAAATGCTTTTTTAAAGTTCCTGCTTCAATAAATTGCTTAAAACAAATATCACACTTGTAGGGCTTTTCGCCAGTGTGTATCCTTAAATGTATTTTCTTACGTCTAATTTCACTAAATTGCTTAGAACAAATTTCACACTTGTACGGCTTTTCTCCAGTGTGTATCATTAAATGTTTTTTTAAAGTTCCTGCTTCACTAAATCGCTTAAAACAAATTTCACACTTGTAAGGCTTTTCGCCAGTGTGTATTCTTAAATGCTTTTCCAAATGTCCAATTTGAGTAAATTGCTTAGAACAAATTTCGCACTTGTAAGGATTTTCTCCAGTGTGTATCCTTAAATGATTTTCCAAATGTGCAATTTGACTAAATTGCTTAAAACAAATTTCACACTTGTAAGGTTTTTCTCCAGTGTGCATCATTAAATGTTTTTTTAAAGTTCCTGCTTCACTAAATCGCTTAAAACAAATTTCACACTTGTAAGGCTTTTCGCCAGTGTGTATTCTTAAATGCTTTTCCAAATGTCCAATTTCAATAAATTGCTTAGAACAAATTTCACACTTGTACGGCTTTTCTCCAGTGTGTCTCCTCCTTAAATGCTTTTTTAAAGTTCCCGGTTCAATAAATTGCTTAAAACAAATATCACACTTGTAGGGCTTTTCACCAGTGTGTATCCTTAAATGTATTTTCAAACGTCTAATTTCACTAAATTGCTTAGAACAAATTTCACACTTGTACGGCTTTTCTCCAGTGTGTATCATTAAATGTTTTTTTAAAGTTCCTGCTTCACTAAATCGCTTAAAACAAATTTCACACTTGTAAGGCTTTTCGCCAGTGTGTATTCTTAAATGCTTTTCCAAATGTCCAATTTGAGTAAATTGCTTAGAACAAATTTTGCACTTGTAAGGATTTTCTCCAGTGTGTATCCTTAAATGATTTTCCAAATGTCCAATTTGACTAAATTGCTTAGAACAAATTTCACACTTGTAAGGTTTTTCTCCAGTGTGTATTGTTAAATGCTTTTTTAAAGTTCCTGCTTGAGTAAATTGCGTTAAACAAATTTCGCATTTGTAAGGCTTGTCGCCAGTGCATATCCTTAAATGCTTTTTCAAATGTTCATTTTGACTAAATTGCTTAGAACAGACTTCACAGTTGTAAGTCATTCCAATGTGCACTTTCAAATGCCTTTTTAAATAACCCAATGCTGTAAATCTCTGTAAACATGTTTCACACTTGCAGGAATTTTCCCGTGTATGTATTACCAACGATCTTTCTAATTTTGTTTTAATCTCGTTCTGAGGTAAACCTAAAATAAA